ACTATTTTTAGTTACATAATAGGAAAAACTATTTTTACTAATTTAAGTGTTTATAAGGACTATCGTAAAGCTTAAGCTCCTAGGGAAGAATCCAAAGTACTATGGATTCTATAGATGTAAAGTCATCATAGAGAACCAAAGATGTCGACATAGCCCAAAGGATTAGTAAGCTGAAGTGGTAGTGGGCCGGTCATATTTGTCGAAGAACCAATAACCGTTGCGGTAAACGTGTTCTAGAGTAAAGACCGCGTCTAGGCAAATGTAGTATAGGGCGTCCTTCAGCTTGGTGGAATGACAACATCCGCAAGGTGACTGGCAGTGGTTGGATGAGAAGAGCTGAAGACCAAGCTAATGATAATGAAGAAGACGGGCTGATGATGATGATAATAATAAAGAGACGGTTTCCAATTTGTACATTTTATATAATTTCTCTTAAGGCATGCTAGCTAACTAATTCAGAAAAGAGAGAATGTCCTATATTAAAGTACGTAATAGGGTCAAAGTCAAAGTCAAAGTCTAAGCATTTATTTCAATTAAACCATAATTTGATACTTTTGAAACATCAACAAATACCAAATAAATAATAGTCTGTCAGTTAGTCCGTCAGTGAAGCTAGGTAAAGCTAGGTGCTCATTCCAAAATGTAGTATGTTATACCTACGTACCTACAGGAAATGTATTTTTACATTCGTACCTAATTCATTATTTAGGGACAGAGATAATTATACATAATATAATCACACAATAATAACACCTGCTTAATCACGCAGACAACATTCACACGAATCTTTGATTAAGTATTTTTATAACTTGGAGTTGTTATAAAAATAGTCGATTAAAGTAATCGATAGCTTATCTATCAAATTATACCATTAGTACTTAAAATATATGACCTTGGTAAGCCTTGAAAAGCTAAAAGGCTTGTTTATCAGCCCGATTTGACCGGATGCGACTCATCATATTATTGTTATCGCGACTTCTTATGTATTTGCGTCATTATATAAGCTCGAGGTAAAGTCCCTGGGCAGTGGTCAGAGGGCCAAGCACGAATAACTATAGCATTCGTATCGTAACAGTATCGAGCGAGTTAAGCGTTCTGATTGGTTGGTTCACTTGAGCCGGCCAATCAGAGCGCCGAACGCGTTCGATATTATTACGTTATGTATGCGATAGTTATTCGTGCTTGGCACACAGTTCTTATTTTAAATAGTATATCATTATCAGGTAAAAGATGTTCATTGCTGAACCAAAGGCTCCGTTGCTGCAGATAACTTAACGGGATGTGGGGACTCCGGTTCAAAGCAAGAGTTGGAACTGGGTGTTGTTCAGTCAGTTAGCGTCTGACACTCCCTCTCAAGGTAGAGTAGTCTTTGGATGATACCTCCCCTTAAATAAAAGGGTTGCGCAGACTCTTGTCCAACTGACTTGACTCAACAGCATCATGGTATGGTCTTAAAAGAGATTAAAAAATAAAGTACTTCATGTTTTGTATGCGATTTATTTTTAAATGTTTCGCCGTATTAGGATTTTCTCCTGTGTCGTAGGTGCGTTTAAAAACATACACTATCACATATACACATGACACCCAGACCCGAAACAATAATCTGTAGATTACACAAAGAGTTGCTCCGTGGGGAAATCGAACCAGCTACACGTTGTGCAGCAGCCGGTTGCCGAGCCACCTCGCCAACCGTGCAGTCGAGGGGAAGTCGAGTAGACGGATAACTGGATAATGGTAAGTTATCATTCTTATCTTGAAGGAGACCATTGGAATTTCAAGTGCGCTACCAGTCTTTGTCAATGTTTTATGCCAGTTCCTTACCAGGCGGCGGCCGACTTAATGGCGACAGCGGTTGCGACAGTCGTTGAGAGAATCCGGCAGTTGGGACTCGAGGTGGCGCTCCACAAGTCCGAGGCCATGTGTTTTCATGGCCGCGGGAACGCGCCACCTCCGGGTGGGTCCCAAATAACGGCGGGAGGAGTTACCATCGGCGTCGAGACGACGATGAAGTACCTAGGACTCGTCCTCGACAGTCGGTGGAACTTCATTGAACACTTCCGACGTTTGGCTCCAAAGTTGGCGAGGACGGGGGCTGCGTTTAAACGCATCCTCCCCAACCTCGGGGGGCCAAACGCCTCCTGCCGGAGGTTATACGCCGGGGTCGTGCGGTCCATGGCCCTCTACGGCGCCCCTGTTTGGGCGCCAAACCTGTTGCGGCGTCCCGCTCGGACGCTGCTCATGGCACAGAGGGTCATGGCGATCCGAATGATCCGCGGATACCGCACGATCTCTGGGGAGTCGGCGAACCTCCTTGCCGGATTACCGCCGTGGGATCTGGAGGCGAAGGTGCTCGCGCGCGTGTACAGCATGCGCGCGGAGGCACGTCGCCGGGGCGAAACCCCGCTGCCGCGCCAGATAGGTGCGTGGCGGGATGAGCTCCGGCGCGATCTCATGGCGGAATGGCAGCAACGACTGTCGCAACCGAGGGCTGGGCTCGCTGCCATCGCAGCGGTAAGTCCCCTCTTTGAGGAGTGGCTTGAGAGACGCTACGGCGTCCTCACCTACCGCCTGACGCAGGTCCTCACCGGACATGGAAGTTTCGGGAGGTACCTGTGTCTGATGGGGCGGGAGGAAACGCCCGGGTGTCATCACTGCGAGGACCGCCCTGAGGACACGGTGGAACACACGGTGGGAGAATGCCCTTCGTGGGCTGAGCACCGCCGTGTCCTCAGGGAAGTGATCGGCGATGGCGACCTCTCGCGTCCGGGCCTAGTGCAGGCCATGATGCGGAGCGAGGGGGATTGGGATGCCGTCTCCTCCTTTTGCGAAGCAGTCATGCTAGCTAAGGAGGAGGCGGGACGCGTGAGGCAGCGAAGCGCTGCCTCCTCGCAACCCAGCCATCGCGAAGGACACACCGGGCGTCGGGGATCGCGGGACGATCTCCGGCCACCGTAAGCGCGGGCCTGCGGACGGCGAGCATGGGTGGCTCCCCGTCCGACCAGAAACAGACCCGAGCGTACGGCGCGTCGCGTTCCGCGCGCGCCTCAAAGAGCCATCAGACCACCACAGATGGGGCCCAATAGGGCCGATGCCGATTCGGAGTCGCGGAGAACCTAACGGGTAACCGGGGCTCCGGCTCGACGTGCAGGAGAAGGAACGGGGTGGTTTTTAGTCAGTAAGAGTCTGACACTCCCTCCCGCCTCACCCAGGCGGGAGCAGTCATTCGATGATTTTCCCCCCTTAAAAAAAAAAAAAAAAAAAATGCCAGTTCCTTATTAACACCTTAACTGCCGCGTAGGTCACCGGTGACCTACGTTAGCGGAGGATTTGCCTTCAACAGTTTTCTATTGCCAATCAAAAATTTAAGAGCCGTGATTTCACACTAGTCATGTCGAAGCGATGCTCTTCCATCCTTACTAATCCTTATCCTTACTATCCTTACTAATATTATAAATCGGAAAGTGAGTTTGTTTGTTTGTTCCGCTTTCACGCCGTAACTACTAAACAGAAGTCTGAATTAAATAATAATGTACTTTTTATCCCGGAAAAAATTAGATATTCTCGAGAAAAAAACGAAATCATTGGAATAGATGGCGCTGTATGAATGTGTCATATAGGCTATCTTTTTATCCTTTTGTGACGCAAGCGAAGCCGCGGGTAAAAGCTAGCGTGAAATAAAATGACGCATTTGTAATTTGAGTTAACTTCTAGAAAGGACTTTTTCAAAAAATCCTATGTATGCTCAAAGATGTTATAGTTTTTAAAATTCCTATGTATCAGCAAAAATATTATAGTTTTTATTTGCGAGAATTTCGGTTTGCATTAAATAAACTTAATGGCAAGCGATAATTGACTTAACATTCCTAGACGAAGGATTATTAAAAATCCAAGATAAAATTTATAAGCTGTGCCGATGACCACTACCTCTACTCTGACGGAAAGTTCATTGCCTTACAAACGATTACTTGTCGCCCTAAAATCTAACAAACGACTGCATTATAAATCGTTTATGATTCAAGAATTTGCTCCAATTAGTTTTCAAATGCCTGATAATGATAATCTCAAATATATTATTTATTTGTTTACAGAATGTGAAATTAATCTTATCATGTAATATCATGGCTCAACAGTTTTTATGTTGGCCCTACGATTATTTGTTTTTAAACCAATTGATAAAGTCACTTATCAGTAATTTTCGACCGGTCTGACGTAGGTTTTGACCCTAATTAATCCAGGATGTCTAGGGTTTTATCAAGATTATACCTAAAATAGATTTGTTTGTGAATTTCAAGTAATATAGAAAATGTGATGAAATTCAAAAATGTTTCATATTGTTTTTTACTAAGTAACTACCTAATCTAATCTAATAAACTTGAGTAACACGCGCGTATCACTTCCAGTGTCATACAATTCCCCTTCGTATGCTGGGTGCAGTAAAAAAGAATTTAGTTTTTTTTTAACTCTAATGTTGTATTGTGTCACAAAGATGTAGCTGTAGAGAAGTTAATGCACGGCTAAACTAAAGTAGGTACGTAACTGTCTAGTAGGTGCTCTAGGTCTCTATTTTTTTTTATGGCATAAGCCGGTAAACGATCAGACGGATCACCTGATGGTAAGCAATCGGCGTCGCCCATTGACACCTGGAACACTAGAGGCGTTACAAGTGCGTTACCGGCGGATTCAGGAATTGGGGAGATTAGGGAAGGGGAGGGTAATTTGGCCTTCGGTAACCTCACTCACACGACGAAACACAACGCAATCGATGCTTCACGTCGGTTTTCTGTGAGGCCGTGGTATCACTCCTCACTCTATCCGATATCCAGGCCGTTTCTCTGTATTTTTTTAAAATAAATCACGCATTAACAGTGCAAATCAAAACTTTAATAAAAATACAATTTTCAGCCTTTGATTGCCAATAAAAAACTTTTGAACGTTAATCGTCTTACGTGGTCCACTGGTTACCCCTTTAGCGTTTAACGTGTTAACAATTACTTAGACCATCATAATTGTATCGTCCCATTACCTCTATAGTTCAGGTAGTAATGTGGCCATTGAGATATCTCAGCTTGCAGCGTGTCTCCCGGACAGTGTGTGTCTCTAATATCCCGATGTCCAACTAGCAGATAATCTGGGTCTATATGACCCTGTTTCACGCCATGATCTATTATAATCTTCAAAGTATCCAATTGTTCTTTAGTAGGTAGCTCGACTGGGAAAAGAGAAATAAATACTTATTGTAGATAACAAATTTGCAATTATAAATCAAAAAGAGGATAGTTGTGGTAAGTAGTTCTAAATAAATGTCATATGAATTCATATTGTCATAATATTATTATTAAGTTTGTCTTTACCATTCACGGGACCACAGGGTCCCGGTCATTTCACATCATGGTCGATCATTTGGTCCAGGCGTACGAGGGGCCGAAGCCAACTGCGCAGAGGCCCTTTAGATAACTTTAATCTAAATGTAATGGACACACAAACCGGCGACTATCCCTGTATGCACTATGGAAATGCACCCAAGGACAGCCCCCGGTTAGTGTAGAACTATTGAGGATAATGGGAAAAAAGGTAGGGCTATAACTATTATTATAAATTATTATTATTATAAATTGTTAGTTTATCAGTGAACGCGTTCGATTAAACATAGTGCCATTAAAGGCACCATTAATCAGTTCATTTCTATTTGACTATGATTCTACTGGTTTACTGTCAATTTGATAACAATTACTACTATTTATGTACGCGAAGTTCCAAGAAACATCAAAGTCATCTTATGGTGCCATCATGTCGCGGAGAACCTAACGGGTAACCGGGGCTCCGGCTCGACGTGCAGGAGAAGGAACGGGGTGGTTTTTAGTCAGTAAGAGTCTGACACTCCCTCCCGCCTCACCCAGGCGGGAACAGTCATTCGATGATTTTCCCCCCTTAAAAAAAAATGGTGCCATTATAACGAAGAAAAATGTTTTTATTTTCCATACCTGTCATATCTAACCAAAAGTAAATATGTCTACGTAAATTGCTGCAGCTCCTGTAGATAACCTAGGACAGAGAGTGGATCTTTGACCTTAACCTAGGACCACTGTGAAATCTTTTCCTAATGTTGCATTAGTACTCACCAGTCCAACTGCCAATCAAAGCAATTCCTACGCTGTATTCGTTGAAGCGCAGAGCATGGGCACCCATATACTTCCAGCCTCGACCCTCGTACACGTCCCCTTGGCCTCCGATACAAAAACTGAAATTGCAAATTGCTTATATGCATATGCTACTACATTCATTTATTTATTTTATCAATGAAGGTCACTTCTAGACTACCTATAGCCATTTTGTACAGGGTGACTTGTAACTCGACGTATTTCTCTCGGGAGGTGATAATACAATTAATTTCCTACAAAAAAACCCTGAAGTCCTTAGTCCGAAAGTGGCTAGCTTGTGAGATGTTCAACATTTTCGTTTTGGTGAAAAAAGAAAAATCAATAAATAACAAAAAAGCAGGGGTTGTGACAAATGTATTCTACTCTGCTGAGATCACATCACTAGGTTATTATTGAGAATAATCCACAATTATTTACTAACAACCACAAATTGTTCTGCTAGGTCTGGGTGCCATAGGTTTGTAAGTGAAATTGTACGTTCGCAACCGTAGTCCTAGTGTGGGCCAAAGTTTTATAAAAATATTCACTCAGTCACCTATATCCAATATCCCACCACCCCTTAACATCCATGTGGTGCTTCTGAATCTTCCGCATCATAGAAGAACATGATTCTTGATCCAGACACGAACTCGTAGCAGTGTTGTGTACAACAACTATTTGAACTGGAAGTTTCAATGGTTGAGTTTGTGTTGCCAGTCTTGCTCGCCAACCTACCCTCGACACGAGAGTATATGGGGTTTCTTGTCCATAAGTTAGATTTAAAATGGTAAATAAAAAAATATGGTAATAATATAACATTTTTGTAACACTTTTAGCGGTTTTTGCAATCACGCGATGCGAGTTTACGCGGGAAATTGTGTTTAAATAGAGAAGCCATTTTGTTTTAAATTGACAATGGCTATGTGATTCGTTCCGTGAAAAAAATTGATTAAATTTTGAATGGTTTATTAATGTTTCCATGATTTTTAATTTGTTTAATTACGCTTATTTTCAAAGACTAGTGGTCCCACTCGGTTTTAGTTACGTGTATTTCCTGAAAAGGTTTTGGATACGACAATATTCAATTACAATTCGGTGAGATAGTATCTGGGATTAGTCTAAATTTATAAACATAAAACCAAGTTTTTGGCAACACGGTTAGTGCGGTAGCTGAGCAACTGGCTGCCACGCAACGTGTCGCGGGTACGATTCCCGCACGGAGCAACTCTTTGTGTGATCCACAAATTTTTGGTCTGGGTCTGGGTGTCATGTGTATGTGAACTTGTATGTTTGTAAACGCGACACAGGAGAAAATCTTAACAAGGGGAGACGTTAAAAAAAGTCTTTTTTTATAGTATTCAGGATTTTTTGTAGTACTCTTACATAGATGGGGTACATTAAACAAGTAAGTGTTATATAGGTACCTACCTGTACCTGTACCTTGGGGGATATAAACGGCGTGATACTTTTATCTTTTTTGTTCAATTCTGGCATACCTTTGTTGATACAAACTTTCAAAACAAAACAATACTGTCAGCAAAATCTGCGTGATATTGATAATGGGACCCCAAATAAATAAATCTATGTGGTAAATAACCCTCAATCAGTTGTTGTTAGTAACCTAATCTTTTCTTAATATAATATAACATCATACCTTTTATCCCCGAAGCGGTACGGCACTTAATGCCACTATACAGTGTAACACCCACTTTTGACTATTTACGTTAGTGAGCCTATTGCCATATACCAGGCATATTTCCAGACTCCGTGCTACTACTGAGATTTTTTTTTAAAAACCAACACTTCTTAATTTCTCGACCCAGGTATTATATTTCTATACCCTAGACGCACTTGCAACCACTTGGCGAATGAATTACTCCTCCCGCCTTCGATGAGACGAGAGGGAGTGTCATCTTACTGACTAAACCTCGCCGATCCTACTTCTGCTTCAAGCCGGACCCTCAATAACCAGCAAGGTCATCCGCAGGTGAGGGTTCTTAGTAAATTCACAGCACCTATTAATCTGTTATCTGTTAATATATAGACACACAATAGAAAACACATTGTGTCTCAAGTATACGTTCCCGGCATTAACCAACCCGTGGTGGGTTGAATGTGTATTATTTTTGTAGTAATAAAAATAATTTGCGAACGACTGATAGATTTTAATAATTATATTGTACCTCGTATGGAGATCTGTATCTCAAAAAGTTGATGAAGTTATAAGAAAGTAAGATCAATGAAAACATTTTAATGATTAAAAAATAATTTATTTTCTTAATAATATATGTATATACCCTAAATATAATCATACAATCATAAGATAGAAATATAGGTAGGTACTATATAGAAGATGAATAAAATTAACATGAAATATTTACATTTACAATTTAATCACAGCCATAATTGTATTAAGCAAATATAGATAAAGATATAGATTTCTACTTAAAAACTAATTGTTATATTTATAATATCAAAGCTCCTTATTTACTTTACGAAGTTATAAGATAATTACAGAATAATACAATATTCATATTATTTTATAATTAAGTGTGGGAGAGCCTAGCTTCGGCACGAATGGGCCGGCTCCACTGGAGTGATACCACGGCCTCACAGAAAACCGACGTGAAACAACACTTGCGTTCTGTTTCGCCGTGTGATTGAGGTTACCGGAGGCCCAATTATCCCCCTCCCTAATCCTCAAATCCTCAATAATCGTCAAATTCCTAATTCCTAAAAGGCCAGTAACGCATTTGTAACACATCTGGTGTTTTAGGTGGCCATGGGCAGCGCCGATTGCTTATCGGCTTATTCCATAAAAAAATATACAGTTGGTTATCAATTTCACATACCAAACTAGGAACTTATATATTGTATATTCTATGCTATAATATTCTACTGTTGCCATTTTGTATTTTCGGAAACATATCTCTGTGCTAGTTCCCAATTTAATAACGAGGTAGAAAGTAGTTCCAACTAATCTATAACTATAGTTAAAATTACAATATTTAAAAAAACATTAACGTGTAACTACTATAAAAATAATTTCGTAATTTTACTACGCCAAAGATCACTAAAAGAGGCTTAATTATAATAATTTGTACATAAATTTAGTGCTTTTTTGTAAAATGTTATTAAATTGATCCAAAAACTAAGGTGATGCATGAACAGATTATGTTGGCATAAGGTTACGTAAATCACTACGTAGTATAAAACAAAGTCGCTATCCGCCGTTTACATAGGTATGCTTAGATCTTTATAACAACGCAACGCAACGATGCGGCTTTTTTCAATAGATAGAGTGATTCTTAGTGAAGGTTTATATGTAAATATAATCCATACATATTGCACCCGTGCGAAGCCTAAGCGGCTCGCATTTCACAGTTCTAGAAACTCAACAACGAACGGCTGATGGTAGGATTTATATAGGCAAAGCCTTTCGTCTGCTGAACATCGGTCCTTTATAAGCGTAAGTACATGTACAATTCTAAGTATGTATACAGATTATCACTTCTAAGTTCTATGTAATCTCAGTAGGTACACAACGTAAACAAATGAATAACTAACAAATTCTACTATTTTTATACCATTTCTTACTATTTTGACACTCGAATACAGAAATGCTATTCAATTTGATATTGTACTTAAATATCGAGCCTTCTCTGTCATGTTACAAAGAATTTGTATCCGATACGGAGCCGCGGAAGATTTAACTGGTAACCGGGGCTCCGGCTCGAAGAACAGGAGTAGGAACGGAGTGGTTTTTAGTCAGTAGGAGTCTGACACTCCCTCTCGTGTCAAGGGAGAAGATATTAGATGATTTTCCGCCTTCAAAAAGAGGGACAGAAGTAGGTATACAGAAGCACGTTTTTAAATTGGTTGGCATTTGAGTATTTCGATATAGGTTTATCTAATTGCCGTATTCAGAGGTATTTAATGCATAAAGTTAAGTCCTGAACAAAATCGTTACTAAGGAATAGTTTCAATACCTATTCATTAAATATATCTAAGTACGACAGTAATTTTTATTTACATTTCTACAATGCCTTTCTCTAGCGAGTCCCTATGATCCTTTGCCTAAGTAAAGATCAAATAAAACGGCACCTAATCGTACTACAATTTTACCTACAACATTCACAAAACATTAAAAAGATCCCTACGAAGGAATATCGTGCATCGTGGTATTCTTTCCTCTAATAGTATCTTTTACCCACTCCGGGATCTCTTTGATATCAAGGAGATCCAAATGAGAACTCGGGTACGGTGAGAAGTGATCCCAAGTCTTAATCTCATTGAAGAGAGCGTCACCTGGGCACTCTGTGGCTCTAACTTGGCGATGACCAAGGAGTTTGTAGTCTGATTTGATGTAGCCAAGTTCCACTCCAGCTGCTATTAATGCCATGGCAGTCTTTCTTTGCTGCGCTGGTGGTACCTCGTCTGAAATGGTCAAGAATTGGATGGTTAGTTTTGGAGGTACATTATAAAGCATGATACAAAAGTGTTATTATATGATACAAAAGTGTTATAAATTTAAGGTTTTTTTTTAAGGGGGGAAAACCATCGAATGACTGCTCCCGCCTAGGTGAGGCGGGAGGGAGTATCAAACTCTACTCTGTGCGTTCTTGCGTTATAGCGTCAGGAAGGAAAACCCGACTTATTTTTATATAGTACATAACTACAGTGTAGGAGAGCCATGCTTCGGCGCGAATGGGCCGGCTCGACCGGAGTGATACCACGGCCTCACAGAAAACCGACATGAAGCAATGCTTGCGTTGTGTTTCGTCGTGTGAGTGAGGTTACCGGAGGCCCAATTACCCTCCCCTTCCCTAATCTTCCCAATCCCTGAATCCACAACGATCCTCAAACTCCTAATCCCCAAAAGGCCGGTAACGCACTTGTAACGCCTCTGATGTTCCAGGTGTCCATTACCGATTGCTTACCATCAGGTGATCCGTCTGCTCGTTTACCTTATGCTATAAAGAAAACTAGGTTTTAAAGTGTCCAGAAGCCGTTATTCGGTCTCGATTCTAGCCTCAAGTATAACTTAAGTTGTATACTCAATTTTAAGTTGTACTTAAATATCGTGCTATCTTTGTCATTATACAAAGAATTTGTAGAGAAAGAACTATACTTAAGCGCGACTTAATTCCACGAAGACGCGATTAACCATATTTGGAAATAAACTATCGGTATCTTAAAATTGAGTAATATTTGAGTATTTCAGCTTTAAACTAGGAATATTAGAATTAGAACAAATTAATCACTTACATCTCCAATCTCCAATGAGACAGATGCCAATGCTGACTGAGTTGAAGTGCAACGCGTGCGCACCCAGTGTCTCCCAGCCCCGCCCCTCGTATGCCGCACCGTCGCTACCGACAGCAAAACTGTAGGAGTAAAAATGTTTTAATAAAAAAGTAACATGTTACCTAACAGGTAAAAAAGTCCTACATGAATCCCCGTGACAATACACACGTAGTTTCATAAATATAATATCATCATACCTTTTTGGTATAAGGCAATAGGCTCACCCCCTATTATATGGGATCATAACATTAATAGTCAAAAGTGGGTGCTACATTGTACAGTGCAATAGTGCTCCTCTGCCTACCCCTTTGGGGATAAAAGGCATGATTTTATTTTATGCTTTTTAAACCCCGATGTGGTGGCGGTGGTGTCAGGTAGTCGTACCATCTATGTCATGAGTAGTATGTAATACATAACATCATCATAACATTACGCCTTTTATCCCCGAAGGGGTAGGCAGAGGTGCACATTATACCACTGTACAATGTAACACCCACTTTTCACTATTTATGTTATGAGTCCCATGTAATAGGGGGTGAGCCTATTGCCATATACCGGGTACAATTCCAGACTCCGTGCTAATACTGAGGATATTTATAAAACCCAGTAATACTTTGCCCGACCCGGGAATCGAACCCGAGACCCCTTGCCCGGCAGTCGCACTTACGACCACTCGGCCAACGAGGCAGTCAGGCAGTAGTATGTAATATAGAAAGTATATAATTTCAGCCTCCGGGTTATTATCAGCTACAGAGAAATTTAGGAGATACCTATTATATATTTTGCCGATATAATTTATTTTACATTGCCAAAAGTATTCTAGGTGCCTACCTACGTTCTATTATATTTCTATTATTGTAAATTGTAGGATAATTTATTACAATGACGTAGGTCATAAACATTTATCAATAATACCATTGACTTTACTTCTATAAACAAGATAACTTACTACTGTTAACTATGTACAATATGAAGAAATTTCGATAAAAAGAATATTACTATTGATAGCTTGGAATATTTTTCTTTAACAATATGTATATCGACCTAAGAATTGCAGATGTTCCATATTTTATTGTTACTATTTTATGGTAATTAAGGTGATTCTCCTACAATTTATGAAATGAATCGAACTAGAAACTAGTTACTTCCGCGCAGTTTCACACGCTCTGCTCAGCTTCTATTGGTCGTAGCGTGATGTTTTATAGTCATCTTCGATAAATTCGCTATCCAACACAATAAGAATTATTCAAATCAGAAGGATAATTTGTACAATATGAAGACTACGGCCTCTTACCGTGACAACGCTTTCTGTGTATTTTGCTGTGTTTGTCGGAGCGAGGTTACCCTATGGGCAATGGGCATAGTAAGCCACTAAAAAGTTGAGACTAAAGTCAAAGTGCCAAAAAAATGATGCCAGTCTTCTGGGAACGTTCCCCGGTGATAGTGATGCGGACGAATACTTTGACGCCTAAATTAAGGGTATCATTTTTGTTGTTTCCTTTTTTTACTTTCGTTTTATTTAATAGGTTAGTTGTAGTAAATATTTATGTAGTTATGGTATATATTTAACAATAAGCATTTAAATAGAATAAACAATAAGTCAAAGCCGTAAAATCTATCCACATTCAGATACTTTTAAAACGTCAATATTGAATTAACCGTTAGGTCTCACTAGGTGGTCGTGTCAAAATGTAGATTCGTGTTAGAACGAGTAAAAAAAAATCACAATAGGTTCATAACCTCTGGTATTGTCAAAGGGTGACTAACCTAAGATACAAAAGGTAACTCGAGTTATAAAAACACTTAAGGTTAAGAAAAGCTAAGGAGTGGATTTTTTTTGCAAGAGTGTATTTCCTGAAGGGTAGGTATAACCTGGATGTCTTCAAGGCCCTAGTGAATAGGTTGCTTATGGGACGACGTGTTCCATTGTAGATATCATCGCTTACCACCAGGCGAGATAGTGGTCAAACGTCGGCCCATCAAACATAAAAAAGTGCAAAATACTCACTGGTATCCAATATCCCACCAGCCGTGGTCATCGATATGGAAGTTCTGCATGCCTCTCATGGCTGCGCAGCACTTCTCCCGGTCGTAACACGCTGGTGGAATGTATGAGTGATGGATCACCACGTACGGGACTGGCGTGTTCAATGGATTCGTCTTCACTGGGTCCCGCGCCCGCCATTGTGCACGGCTCACAAATGGAAAGTTGTATGAATGGACTTCATTCTCATTTGATTCCACTGTAATGTATATTTTTATGTGTTATAAAGAATGTTTATTAAATTTCATAACATTAAAATTTATTGAATTATTTTTAATAGATAGAAAAATGCAGGTATCTTACTGTATGCTCAAAAAATTATATTATTTCGATATCACGTCAATTAAATGAATATTAATAGACATACACGTTATAAGTGTATACAAATAAGTGAGTTAATAAAGAAATTAACATATCTAATTGAAATAAACTTGTTATTATTTTAGAAACTATTACAAATATCAATTAAAAGATAACTACTGAAAACACTTCAAAGTTTCATCACTAAAATAAGCAAGAAAAAAACATAACAAATAAAAAATAGAGAATCTTACCATAATTTATCACGGTAGGCATAGCTCCAACGCACACGGAAATACAGTACAACACCAAATAATATATCATAGCTTATATTCTTCAAGTTCTATCGTCCATCAGTTGATGAACCGCACTGAAAAAATAAATACGGACAACTCTATTAGAAGTATAGATAAAGGTTATCATTTCTCATATAATTATGTATTATGTGCGTAAGTAGGTACTTATCGATAGGTCCTACATAATATAAAGATTTGATTGTTTGTCTGCTTGCACTGAATAGGTGCCTAAACGAGGGGACAAGCAAAACTAATTCTCCATTGGAAAATTTGGTTGAGTAACAATTTTCATTAATTGGAAAAGCTTTGAGTTGGTCCTATTTGGTATAGATTTTTACATATTGTAGGTAACTGTAAGTTTTCGTAAAAAGAATATTTTTATTTTATTAATTAACCAACTTCAAAATCAAAGGTGTTATAAGTTTGACATGTATGTATGTATGTATGTTTCTGTACAATTATCTCACGATATTCTCAACCGATAATGATGAGGTTTTCAGAAAAGTGTTTGTTACACTTAGGAGAAGGTTTTAGTATATTAATTACCCGCCTTTAATAAAGAAGGGGGAACTATATTTATGCTGAATAAATGTATTTTCTTTCTTATTTCTTTCTTTCTATATATATTTAGGGAACAAAGTGGAAAGTTCCCTAAGATCGGAAAAGGAGGATCATCCGACCAGGCGAGGTGATCGTGTCTGGCGGGCTTTCTGCCCGACAGTTATTCGTTGGGATTTTCTATCCGTCATAAATCGAATGTAAACTTCGCATGTGCGATGTAGAATTTTATGACGTCATCCGTTGACTTGTGACATGTATCGCCACATGTATATATATAACTAGCTTCTATCCGCGACTTCGACCGCGGAATCCTATTTTCTCCCGTTCCTATAGGATTTTCAGGTATTATTTCTGTCTTAAAAACTTTTTCTTAATAATAACAAATACAACAAAAAAAAATGTGAAATCGGTCTCTACCCATTCACGTGTGATGCCGTGACCAAGGAAAAACAGGATTCATTTTTTTATCATTACGTAGTGTAAAACAAAGTCGCTATCCGCCGTCTGTCGGTTCTTATGTATGCTTAGATCTTTAAAAATACCCAACGGATTTTGATGCGGTTTTTAATAGATACTTAAGGAAGGTTGTCATGCATAATGCACCCGTGCGAAGCCGGGTCGCTAGTGAATTGTTTGAAATACCGGGCAAGCAAAACCGCTTCCAAAAATGTAGTGTAGTAGATATTTTTGACCAAAATGGTTTTATTGTGTAGTTTCCTTATTTTATAATTCTATGTTATGTTTTGCAACGTGTTTGTTTGTTTGTCACTGAATGATGTCACGTTAGTTAAATGAGCACGTGAGTTATCTAACGCTGAGCATTAAGGTATTTCACGTTCAATTTATTACAATTTATTAAGAAAACAATATTCTACTTAAAATGTTGTTTTGTCCGAAAAAAACATAAAACAACCGCAATGTCCTTTCAGTTTATTATAGACTTTGTTAGTTCTAGACTCATAGTTCAGAAGTGGACTAGTAGACTACTGTTAGTGATTTTGAATTATAAAGCTAACAATTAATGAACGTACTAAACAATACGTCTGCTAAGAGCTACACCTCTAATAACTTGTTCCATTATTAAAACTCAAAACAAACAAAATCACGTGCAATACTAGTTCATACAATTAATTAGTCCGGCGCACGCGCACATGACGTGTCACATACGTCATACCGGCGGGGGATCAATTATTATCATTGCCCAGTCTATTATCTATCATCATAATAATAATGTAGGTATTTTGTTTAATTATATGATTAGCTATGTATTATATATATTGTTGTTCTTTTTGACCTTTCTATTCGAAAGAAAATATAGCTTATCAGTATGTTGTGTTAACATTGACTATTTTAATAAATTATTAATTTGTTAAGATACTACAAAGACAGTCAAATATTTGTTTGAGAAAAAAAAACAATTTTTCTTCAAAGCCGTTTTTCGAATTTGGATAAAGAGAAATCTTTAGATTCTAGAGGTATGTATATTTATTTTATTCCAGATCTCTAAAAAACTTAATTTGGGCGACAACATTTCCTCATTTAGTTATTAAAAGAAACCACATCTCAGTCAATATTTACCCCATCGAAAATTAAAACGGAAAAAAAAATTAAAATTGCGTATGTTATGTTATGTTATGTCCTAAAAATACATAATATAACGCGATGTATTAATTATGCGTTTTCCTCTATAAATTAATACACGGTTCTTTTTTAGATGCGATGAGTAACAAATTTAACGAGAACTAACAGTTAAATCACTCGTTCAATGACCTAATAAAATTAAGTAATAACTAATTTTAACTTCCAACTGCATAAAGGATAAAGGACGCAATAATTTCATGAATGAATTCGTAATACGTGACCTAATATATAGGACATAAACATATTTGTACCTATTTTGTATGTTTGTAATGAATAGGCTCAAAAAGTACTAGGCCGATTTAAAAACTCTTTCACCAATAGAATGCTACATTCTTCCAATTTGACATAGGCTACATTTCATTTTGAAAAAAAATTAGGGATCCTTGGTAAAATTTGAACAATGTAACCTAAGGTGTAGAAAAATGAATCTTAAAATGTCTTTCGTGGAATGCGCTGCCGAAACTATTAGCGATATAACAAAATAATGTACAACAATATTGAAGAACATCGTAATGTCTACAAAAAACTGTCCAACTATTGTAGTTATGTCACTACAACAATCCAAATTTCCAAAAATAAATAATTGTCTACCCCGTGCGAAGCCGGGACGGGCTGCTAGTTAATTATATAACAGTAGCTGGCAGTGGTGATAAAATCGGGACAATATTATTAAAGACACAATATTTTTTATATATATATTTTTATATATTCTTGATAAGTAGACGTTTGGTGGTAAGCGATGATGTGGCTGAAGATGGAGCGTCTGCCCATAAGCATCCTATTCACTTGGTCCTTAAAGACACCCAGATTATACCCTTTAGGAAACACAGATTCTGGCAAAGAATTCCACTCCTTAGCAGTACATTCAGTCCAGTCCTTTTATTGTAAGCAAGATTGGATAGTTAAAGGTAAAGAGTCTGATTCTCATATTGATGAAAGACTGAGAATTGTATTGTAATACAATCCTGACTTAACATAGAACTCAAACCCGAGATTATCGTAAATACATTGTATGTAGACAATCTAATTTTATTATGGCATCGCATTTCTTTTTTTTATTGAATCAAAGAGTTTCTTTTTTCTTGTGTTGTAGCACTATTTTATATGGATTGTCAGTATGCATAGGTAAGTGAGCACCATGTTAAGCACTACAAGACTTTTTTTAAGGGGGGAAAAATCATCGAATGACGGCTTCCGCCTTGGTGAGGCGGGAGGCAGTGTCAGACTCTTACTGACTAAAAACCACCCCGTTCCTTCTCCTACACGTCGAACCGGAGCCCCGGTAACCCATTAGGTTCTCCGCGACAAGCACTATAAGACTATAAGAAGAGAAAATAATGGTTTAATTGAAATAAATACTTTAACTTAACATAAAATCACGCCATTTTTTCCCGAAAGGGTAGGCAGAGATGCACATTGCAGCACTTAATGCCACTGTACAATGTAACACCCACTTTTCACTATTTGACTTTCAAATGAAAAATAAACATTATAGGTGCCTTTAGTAATGTTTGGAATTCAGCTCGCACCCTAATAATATCTCCAACAGTATGTGCGTAGTTTATATAAATGAATGAACAATAAATAATACTATAAACAGGATAAATGTAACAATGTGCATTGTTATCGTAACAACACGTGTGCAAGGAGATTGCACTGCATAAATATTAGCTGTGCACTAGGCTCAGTTCGTATGTTAATTGTCACTTTTTGTATCATAAGAAACTTAGACCGTAATAAACTTATGAAAGTTAACGAAATTAATATAGCCATTCACGCGTAAAAGCATAAAACTAGACAAAATAAAATATAGTAGGTATTGAAATAGGATTTAGTGAGATTGAAGCGGACCTGGTTCCTTACCCTTGAAACAATTTTAACGTCAATACAATTTCAATTCATTAAAATCTCAATAATTATTCAGTATCAAAACTATACAACCCCTATCGTAGCTGTTCAAATAGCATTCAGAGTACGGAATATAAAATCAAACTCAATACCATTTAGTTCATTAAATATCCACGCAATACGGATGCAATGGGCGCTAGTGTTGAAACTCAAGGGTATCTAAATTTCACAATATCAATGTTGCTCGATAGGAATTGGATTAAAAAATAAGCCCACTGTTTTGTCGGGATTGATGGATGTCGTTGGGATATCTCAAAATTTGAGGAATTGTCGCTACTTCGACATAGATAGAATAAAAGAAACATAGGTACATTAAAAGTTTTATCGAATTATGTATTAGATACATGTAGATAGGTACTATACTGGACATGTACCTATAGCGTGTGAACTATGTGGTTACACGCACTCGCTTATACGGTACATTACAGAATTGCTCACATGTCGACGATAAGCGGAGTATGTGTAATATTGGCACTATATCGGCGCAGTAACTGCATGGAATGTTGGGGTTCGATTTCCGCTTGGAACAAATATTTGTATTTTCTGCAAAGGTTTTTATTTCATTTGATATAATAATTATGTGTTTGTAAACGTAATTCAACTTAGATGATTATAATTTTATCATATTACCGACAGGTAGAACGTAGGTATGTATAGTTTATTTTGTATGAGGAAAATTTATATAAAAACGTTGTTTGTTATTAATAGATTTAGCAGTTGCAATGTTCCCAAAATAAACAAATTTTTGTTACAATCGGTGTGAGAAGTTTTCTTCTTTTTTGAACTCAGGTAATTATAAAAATAAAATATATTTATTGGATGATGGCAACCGTGTTTTTTTTCAGCAGGTTTGGGGTACGATAATTATCGTGGCAATTAATCATATAAAACTTGAATGTATCTTTTCGAAACGTTACGTTAGAAAAATGAAAGAAGTACCTACTTAATATAGATTCTTCATGGTTTTTAATTGATCAATTTAAACAATCAAACTGACAAAACAATCAAATCTTTTAATAGAAACATAATTATGATATTTTTCCTATTTTTAAACTATTTTTTTTAATAGTGATAAGTGTATAGATCATAAACTTACCACTATTTAAATAAAAAAATAAAACTCACCAATTTAAAAAATTAAAACGTAACACAGATTCACAAATCAAATATTTAATTTTCGAACACAGATATTCGTTGATATACAAGGTGATGTTTTTATCACACGTTTTATAGGACGTCCTCACACAACGGCAGAATGCTGTATAAATAGTATATAATTCACCCCGCGGAGTTTATATAGATATTTCCTCGCTAAGGTGATTCCCCTGCGCGTTGAGACAACGCTACACATTTCTACCTGTGGTTCCGTTAACCAAAAAGTTTATACTATACAAAGACCATGTTCAACGCGTGTCATTTTGGCTAATTAAGCATTTTTTTTGCATAAATTATAAGCCTATTTATCCGTAAATACTTCTAATCTACAAAAGCGTTTGTCATTTAAATAAATTGTCGTGGCTTAGCAATTGTTTAGACATGAATACGTACGCAACATTAGCACCTCATTTTGTATGATTATATTGTTTAGAAGTTCTAGAAGTAACTATAATATAATAGTTGGTCGTGAACCACGATTATCCAGTAATAGATCTCTCTCTTTAAAACTTGGAGTAAATTGACAAAGTATGGTACACACACACATTTACATAATTTAACCATGTGCTAACAACGGTTGAGTAGAATTCATAATAATCTTCCTGCGGATGTCGTAAGACTAAAGGACTACATATGACCGCCCTGAGGACACGGTGGAACACACGGTGGGAGAATGCCCTTCGTGGGCTGAGCACCGCCGTGTCCTCAGGGAAGTGATCGGCGATGGCGACCTCTCGCGTCCGGGCCTAGTGCAGGCCATGATGCGGAGCGAGGGCGATTGGGATGCCGTCTCCTCCTTTTGCGAAGCAGTCATGCTAGCTAAGGAGGAGGCGGGACGCGTGAGGCAGCGAAGCGCTGCCTCCTCGCAACCCGGCCATCGCGAAGGACACACCGGGCGTCGGGGATCGCGGGACGATCTCCGGCCACCGTAAGCGCGGGCCTGCGGACGGCGAGCATGGGTGGCTCCCCGTCCGACCAGAAACAGACCCGAGCGTACGGCGCGTCGCGTTCCGCGCGCGCCTCAAAGAGCCATCAGACCACCACAGATGGGGCCCAATAGGGCCGATGCCGATTCGGAGTCGCGGAGAACCTAACGGGTAACCGGGGCTCCGGCTCGACGTGCAGGAGAAGGAACGGGGTGGTTTTTAGTCAGTAAGAGTCTGACACTCCCTCCCGCCTCACCCAGGCGGGGGCAGTCATTCGATGATTTTCCCCCCTTAAAAAAAATAAAAAAAAAAAAAAAAAAAAAAAAAAAAAAGGACTACATATATATAACAGACACCAGGTATCAGCTATCTCTGATAAACCCTTTTATAAGCTACAATCTGGGGCTTACAATGAAATTACATTGAAATGTGCCCAGATCTGTATTTGGACTGTTTGAATGATGATGATGACATTCTGAGTGACACATTCATTATTTAGAAGTTTTTTTTTTATGGAATAGGAGGCAAAGAGGAGACGGATCATCTGATGGTTAGCGATCAGCGTCGCCCATGGACACCCGCAATACCAGAGGAGTCACGAGTCGAGTTAGTGCAATGTTTGTCTGCAAGTTAAGCTCGTCTTTTGAAAATTGCTAGCGAAAGTTCTAGGGCTTTATTTTGCGTGTTTTATTACTGACTTGATGTTATTTTTCTAAGGCGACCTTGATTATTATCTTATGTTAAACTATGTTTTTTGTAGTCAATCTATTTTGGAACTATCAAATAGTTTTTTCACTTTAATTAGGTACAGTCCCTATTGTTTACATTGTGCAGTATCCGAAGCTCTTGGTTCCTTATGGGTGTTGATTGCGACGACCTGAGTTCAGAGAGGTGAAAATCTTATACTTCCTTCCTAATGACCTAGATGACCTCAAGTTGCTGCTCGAGGTTGGGGATCAGTCTGACTGTGAGCGACTCCAGGGTGACATAGATAGGGTGGTGAAGTGGAGCCAGGACAATGGGTTGTGCTTCAATGTATCAAAATGCTCGATAATATCCTTTACTCGTGCGCGGAATCCTATCTGCTATGAGTACATGGCGGAGGCGACAGCATTACAGCGAGTTACACAAGTACGTGATCTAGGAGTACAACTTACTCCAGATCTTACGTTTCGCGAACATATCGTAAAGATATGTAAAAAGGCTTACAGGAACCTCGGCTTTGTGCTTCGGCAGTCGCAAGGGTTCACAAACATCACAGCGATTAGGGTGTTATACGATGCACTAGTCAGAAGTCATTTAGAATATGGTGGGGTTGTATGGGCCCCACACGAAGCGAAGTACTCTGACATGCTGGAGCGCGTACAGAATAAGTTCGCGCGCCACTTGTACCGGAGACTGTATGGGGTATACCCGTTATACCCGTTGATGTACCCCACACTTTTTGTACTGGGTATGGTGTCGTACAATGAGTTGGGCGTGCGGCGACAGTTCACACTGGTCGTCTACCTAATTAAGTTACTCCACGGCAAGCAACACAACCCTGGAGTGCTGCAGCTCTTGAGCTTTAGTGTTCCGGACCGCTATGTGTGGAGGCGCCGGCGTCCACCGCTGCTGGCCGTCCCGGCTGCCAAGACCAACCTACTGGCCAAAACGCCTCTGACGCGAGCAATTCGTACGATTAACCAAATCCAGACTGTAATAGATGTATTTGCGTGTCAGTTCAATAAACTCGCAAAGATTATTTTATATATACTGTGTTATAGGTTAGAGTAGTAGATATAGTTTTAGTGTTAAGTTGCTTTTATTAGTCTAGGTATTGTTAATTTGTTATTGTTAGTTTTGTAAATGTAAGTAAATGTCCGTATAAAGTGCCACACTAACGCATTAGGTTATATAATTTACCTGTAATGTTAGCTGTAAGAGTTGAAATAAATAAATAAATAAATAAATAAATAAATAATTCATGTTCTCAAAAGTAGGACGCGTTTTGGAAACTTCTCCCTACATAACGTAATTAATACTTATACGAAAGGGTACACACAATAATAGTTATACAATAAAACAATAGTTATACAAAATAACAATAGTTATATAACAGGGTAGACAAAATCCGTTTCATGACCTATTAATTTACCATCTTAGAAGCCTGAATCTATAGTCTTGACGGAACCCTATAATCGGCTTTATAACAAAGTCGTAAAGTAGAAAATATAATACATAATACGCTTATTTTGGCGATGTCATGCGTTTGTACTTAATTACCTTTTTACAATGCAATAAGTCCGTAGATAAAAATCACAACATGTTTAATTTTATGTTGAGGGTCAGATAAAATGAATTAAAATTGACGATTTGATGTCATTAGGGACTGTCCGGTAGTGAAGAGACCGTGGCACGGAATTAGGGATTTGGGGTTTTCCTATTAAGGAAGGAACTTGGACATTGGTTTTATCATTTTATTGCAGTTAAAACCTAAGCCTTTGTTATATTATTGATTTTAAATTTAGAGTTATGACTCAAGTTACAGAGACAATAGTCTAAATGCGTAAATAGAAACTTGAATTAAAATTAATTAGTAAAAGGTCCAGCCAACCCTATAGGGCCCAATAGGGCCGATGCTGATCAGAGCCGCGGAGGACATAACGGGTTGCCGGCGCTCCGGTTCGAAGTGCAGTGTGTAGAACGTAGTGAGTAGGAACGGGGTGGTTTTTAGTCAGTAAGAGACTGACATTCCCTTTTGCCTCACCTGGGTGGAAGAAGACATTGGATGATTTTTCCTCCTCAAAAAAGCCTCGATACATTGATGTTTTTTTCACTTGATTCGATTTTCGTGTATGCTATTTGTCTAGGGATTGATGTTAGATTAGCCTTCGATTGTATCTTTTGAGCTTTTCCACCTTCGATTTTTTTGTAAGTGGGAGGAATCTGAGCGTGTCTCGTTTTGTCAAAAGCTTCACTCACTCTTTTTGGCAATATGATTAATAAGGTAAGTTTTTTTTCAGCTACAGTGAGTGTACTACAGGTAGTTAGGATTGAATCTTTATCTACCATCTACTCTTGAGGGGAATAACAAGCGTGATGTTTGTTTTTTTATAACACTCTGTATATTGCCATTTGTTTATCATTCGTTAGTTCAATCTGTAGCTACTGAGAATTTAGCTTATTTTTCTTTTATACTTGACCCCATAAATGGCCAGCTTCAATAACTTCAGTGTCGCATGTATTATTTGGCTTTTTCTTTGGAGTTTATGCTTAATCTATCGACAGATAGCTGGTTACTGCGTTCACACAGTTGGCCCATGGTAACCGGGGCTGTTATTTACTATGTATAACGTAATGGCTTTTCTATCTTTCTATGTTTTACCAATTTTTTATGTGATCCACAAATTACTGTACTAAATCTGGGTGTATCATGTGTTTATGAACAGTAAAAGTGTTTGTAAATGCAACCAGAGCGTATAAAAGTAAACCCTAGTGATTTTTTAGGGGGAAAAACAGGTGAGTTGGGAGGGACTGTCAGACTCTTAGTGACTAGTAACTTGTGGGTGGTAGAGGTGGTTCCGGTCCCTACTCCTGCTTCGAACAGGTAATCGTTCAAGTTGTTCGCAGGCCCAGTCGAGCCGGACTTCAGTGTTCCGGTGTTTTCATGGTTGTATCTATTTGTAGAACCTGGCTTACAGGAGTTGCAGCGGTTTTAGGAGGATGTGGCGGGCTTGTCGCAACTTTAAAAAAAAAGGCCCAGTCGAGCATAGGCCTTAGTGTAGACTCATGTTAAAAAGTACTTAACTTTTCAGTATTAAGTTTACAAGTAGGTATCTAACTGTAGTAGTTCTAACAAGGTTTTTTTATTATAATACACCTTATGTGTAACAATATGTGGTTTTAAATGTGGGTTTCTAATCAACAGGCCCTTGTTCTTACCCTTATGTTAGAACAATAGTGCATTCCGATTCATTAATCATTGTACTTTATGTGTTAGTATAGAGGCAATTGTTTCCTTGGTAAACATTCATTCATATCTTTTGTAAGGCAAAAAAAATGTATCCTCGTTTTAATTATTATTACTGTTGGAGAGTGACGTTGTTTGAGTGTGGGAGAGCCATGCTCCTGCATGAAGGGGCTGGTTTGACCCGAGTAATACTCCGGCTTTACAAAAAACCGACGTGAAACAGCGTTGGGTTTCTTCGTGTGAGTGAGGTTACTGGCCTCTGGTGTTTCGGGTGTCATGGGTAGCGCCGATAGCTTACCATCAGGTAATCCGCCTGCTTGTTTGCCGTCATACTGAAACATGGGCATAATTGTAGGCGTAGAACATTTACTTAGATGTTGTTTTAAAATTCGACCCTCCGAAGGCTAGTTTACAGCATTAAATAGTTTGAAACAGGAACGAGGTCGAGTCCTGCGTCGGAAATATGTTATGGAATTCTCACCTCTTATTACAGTGTACTTAAAGGTTAATTTCTGAAAACCTAATCTTAATTAGAAGTCGAAAATTAATTTTACGGTATCCTAAAAATCCGTATCAATAGCAAAACAAAATATCCCAGAGCTCAGTGGATAAAACAGGTTTGTGTAATATAATCTAATGACGCGATATGTTTTGGTCGACTGATTGAATTTTATTATTAAATCAACTAAGTATATCTATCATCCGAATTCCGAGACAGCCCGGGGCCCGTTTCTGCGAATTGAAAAGATGTTCTACGCAATTATGATGAATAATTACGTAACATTCCAACTGTCCACGTTGTTTCGTTTGACAGATGCATGCATCCTTCACACACAGTAAGCGGCCTACAAAGGACAAATGCTTGTATCTTGCTTAGACACAGTGAAAATGCAGCATATCGTCAAATGACGCAACGTCAAGTAGGCTGTCTAATAATGACGCTGCTACTCAGCGGCCCTTTGCATCAGACTTATTCATCAGTTTCAGTTCTCAAGTCAGAAACCCAAAGAATTGGCATCGAAAGAAAGATGATAACGTCACGTATTGACCAACTTATTGCTACAAATGATTATTAAAACGATTAGCCCATGAGACAACCAACCTCCCCTTCCCTCCTCTTACCTACATAGGTACTTACTGTATCTATAACCAACTCTTCAAAGTCAAAGTCAAAATCATTTATTTCAATTAGACCAGAATTTAAAAATTTAAATTAGGCACCTTTGAACGTCACTCTAATTTTGACAAACTGTAGCTACTACTTTAATGAATACATTAGGTATTAATTAATTGCTTGATTTTTTTTTGTTTCTTAACCCATTTAGACCGATAATTATTTTCATGAAAAATTTTAGTTATTTTAACTTATATTCATTAAGAGGGGTACAAACAACAATAAAAAAATATTAAAAAAAATATACAATTACTGGGGAGACGTAGGGGGGGTGTACCATATCGGGTACAGTAGGACTATATGCATACAAATATACAAGATTTTCCAATTAGCTAATTTATTTATTTTTTTGTGTGATACATATTAAAACATTCCGGGATAAGGTACAGATATTTTATTTTTTTGTTCCTGCGAATAGCATTCAGTTTTGTGTACAGGATTTATGCAAACTGCATTGGAACACACTGAAACCATGCTATTATCGTACCACCTACAAATTATTACATCATCAGAGACGCGATAATCGTAGAAGCCTCTTTCCTTTTTTTTCTTCTATGTGTCTCAACAGGCAAATTATTTATATCGATGTTATCTTCCACACGAGTCTTCATCAGTTCGATCCTCATGGGCAGGGATACTGTCAGTATAGTGCTGGTAGTAAAAAAATATCTCTTCCCTGATTACTCATATCATCATCTTCTTCAAGAACTATTGCAATTTCGTGCAGTGTCAGTGGTCTGAAATAAAAATAAAATAAAATCAGGTTTAGATATAGTTATCTATTAGTATACTAGATAGTAGGTACAAGAAGATGTTGATGTTACATAAACCTACTGTACCATATGCGGTACACCTTCTTTACGACCAAATATATCTTACTAAACTAACCTTACCGAAAATTGTTTACATGTATAATATTTCTTTAGACCTACTCTGCAAAATAGTAACGAAAAATAATATTATTTACAATAAATAATATGGAACTTACCTTTTCGAAGTCATTGTATATATTTCCTGTAGTCCTAGCTGGGTGTCTTCGATAAAATTTTCAACGAAATTTGCATAAAAATACTGTTGTATTATTGTAAATGGAAAGCTAACACTCTGAACTAATTGTTACAATTAAAAGAATAAAATATTAATTTGTGGGTAGGCCAAAATATTTTTATAAACTTACTGTACCACATGTGGTACAGTAGGTCTATATGGGTTAATATACTTTGTAACGGTGTGCAAATCGATATTTTTTCTTTCTTTTTTTTTCTTTTATTAATGGCCATATATAGCCATAACTATGATAGAAGTACCTACTAGCTAATTAGCGCTGTTAAATACTTCTGAGACTTGCTAGACGTTCAAATGGGATGATGACAGGGTATGAAAATCAAAAATCGAATTAGTCCGTACGTTAAGTAATGAAAAAATATTAGACACGTTTTATTTATTTTGTCGTATAGTAAAACAATACTTAGATAAAACGAATCAAAGTTTAGGAGTGGGGGCTAAAACGTCATTTCTACGTATAAAATGTACATAGAAATGACGTCACACGACATTTTAAATCAATAAATCGTCGAAACTATTCGTTTCTGTAAGAAAATAAAAATACGTGTCTAATGATTTAAAATAATCTACCAGACGGACATTAAA